TTTTTTAATCTTGTCATTATTTCATGGAGCGTTTTTTGATGTCTTGTGAATCACCCACGGCTCATGGATCACAAATGGAAAAATACTCCTCTGGCATGTTTGAACCAGGGAAAGAACCCTGCTGGGGGTGTGGGGGTGGGAGGGGGGAAGTCTGCAAATGGGAGAGGGCTGTTTGGCGGTGGTGTTCTCATCCTTCAGTCTGCAAACGGTCCATTAGATGGAGGCTGAGGTGCGAGGGGAGGGAGGTTTTGCTCAGAGGGGCTGTTTCAGTGGTGGTGTGGCAACACTTGAGCGCGTATGCCCGGCGCACATGATGGAGATGCTGGTTGGACTCGGTGCAGACGGGGCAGGAACACGTTGGTGGCGGTGTCTTCTCCGGGTGACACCTGGCACAAGCTGTTTGCAGAAGGAGCTTACGCCCCTGCCATCACTCACCCCGGCCTCTCTTCTCCTTTCCCACGCAGGAGGGAAGCCTGTGGCCTTCGGAAAGCACCGTGTCGGGGACCGGCATAACCGAGGTGAGGGCGCCGCGGGCGCCGCCGCCCGTCCCGCCGTGCCGCCGTGCCGCCGGGCCACCTCTCACCCTCTTTCCTCTGCTCTCCCTTCCAGCAGCAGATCTACACCCCGCGGCCCAGCGAGCGCCTGGCAGTGCCCTCCTTCCTGCAGCGGGACCGCTTCAACCGCTTCCAGCCCACGTACCCGTACCTGCAGCACGAGATCGACCTGCCGCCCACCATCTCGCTGTCGGACGGCGAGGAGCCCCCGCCCTACCAGGGACCCTGCACGCTGCAGCTGCGCGACCCCGAGCAGCAGATGGAGCTCAACAGGGAGTCCGTGCGGGCCCCCCCAAACAGAACCATCTTCGACAGTGACTTGATAGATAACTCCGTGTTCGGGGGGCCCTGCCCGCCCAGCAGTAACTCTGGCATCAGTGCCACCTGCTACGGCAGCAGCGGCAGGATGGAGGGGCCGCCACCCACCTACAGCGAGGTGATCGGCCACTACCCCGGCTCCACCTTCTACCAGCACCAGCAGAACAACAACGGGGTGCCCCCCATCTTGGAGGGCAGCAGACTCCATCCCTCACAGATCAATGGCCTTGAGAGCACAACGACGACGACGGCGTGGAACAAAGAGAAAGAGAAACAAAAAGGGCATCCCTTTTAAAAAAAAAAAAAAGAAAAAAGAAAAAAGGAAAAATGAAAAGAGAAAAAAGGCAAGAAAGTAAATTAAACACTCTGCACTTCTCACTAAAAGAAAAAGGAGAGAGAGAGAGAGAGTTGAGGAAGATGAGCAAAGAAAAAAAAATGAAGCCCTTCCCCATCTCTCCGTGTATAAATATTTACTTGTTATGTCTGGTCTGAATGCACAAGCCTACCAAGCTTGCAAAAACATTTCTTTATTGAGCTGTGTCTAGACGTTTAAAAAGGAAAAAAATTCAACTGTAGTCTTTTTTTTTTTTGTTTGTTTCTAGTTGGGCTGTGTGTGAATGCTTTTTTTTTTGTTTGTTTATTTCACTTATCTTTAAAAACAAAATATTTGCACAAAAACCATTTTGTTTAAAGATCTGCAATATAAATATATAAATATATATTAAAAATAAGAGAAAGTGTATGTGTAAGGAGCAGACGTATTTTTGTATTAGAAGAGGCCTATTCAAAAAAAAACAAAAAGTTGTTTTCTGAACTAGAAGAAAAATGGCAATTTTTTGAGTGCCAACTCAAAAAGCATGTATTACATTGTAAAAAAACAAAAAACAAAAAAAAATCGAAAGCAGGGGTTTAGAGTTATTTATATAAATGTTGAAATTTTGCACTATTTTTTAATATAAATATGTCAGTGCTTGTGTTGGTCAAAGCCTCTATCATGTCTACCATGAACCTGTTAAGGGATCTATGTGGAAGTGAAGAACAAAGTAGCTGGAAGGGGAGGAGGATCGCTGGAGTGGAGATGCCAGCCCTGGGAGGAGCGGTGAGCGAGACTGCAGCTTATGCAAATCCTTAATTTCCAGAGTCTCAGCGCGTGGCCGCCGACAGCCACAGCTTTTATACATTCCCTACAAAGCAAGAGGAGTTGGTGTGTGTCTGTCTGTCATCCGGTAGGATTATTGGAGTAACAAGGTAAAATGAAAACTCCCTGCTTCCCGCAGTCAGGAATGACTGAAGCAGGCAAAAATTACTTGATTTTTTTTTTTCTTTTTTTTTTTTTTTCTTTTTTTTTTTTTTTTTATCTTTTTTTTTTTTTGGACAACCTCTAACTTTTTGGAGGGGAGGGTGGTGGGGGTTGAGAATAAACTTCTGTGTCTGAAGGAACAAAAGTGTATTTTGGTTTATTTCTTTCCATGTTCAACTGAAGGTTGCTGTTGGAGCCAAAGCGGTGGTTGTGGAAGTCCTCGTGAGGAACTGGTAGCGCACCCACTGGCTGCCCTTCAGCTGGGTTTAAATGTCTCGTTGATAGGACGAGGTGGAAAGTGTGGTGGTGGTGAACATCATTTTCATTTTGTTTCAACCTCCCAAACCTCAATTTGGGATAAACGGGCGCAGCCGTGTCCCGCGGCGCCGCCGTCCCTGGTTGTCGCTATTTTTCATGTTTGTTATCCAGCTAAAGAGGCACCAGGTACAGTAGATGGAAATGAATCTACTCCTGTGTTGTATTAATTAAAGGCTACAAAAATAATGCTTAAGGCTTTAGAAGCAACCCCCCTTACCTCTTCTGGGACATCCTCCCCCCAGGTCCCGCCGCCCTCCCGCCGCCGCGCGTGGTTTATTGGTGCGCGTGGTTTATTCCTCTTGGTTTCAGAAGCGCTTTGTCTTGCTCTGCTCTTGTTTACATTTTCTGTCACCTCGCTGTCTGGTAGGGGCCTCACCCTCGTGGTGAATCTGTAGGTGACCGAGTGAGTGAGGGGGAAACCTGAGAGAGCGAGGGGGAGAAGGCAAAAGGGAAAAATCCCGTTGTGGGTCCGGTCTCTCCGAGCGTGAGGAAGGGTCGGTAGGGAGCCACAGAGAGCGAGGATTTTACAAGGGGGTGTGATTTGATTTCCTGCAGGATGCTATCTAGTAGAGTGACATAAATGAAAGATATAAAGGCAATAACTATTGTTTTTAAGCAACTTTTTTATTACTTGAAAAAGAAAAAAAAAACGTAACCATGAGAACGGTTTTGAAGTTCTGACCATTTGAACAATATTTATATATATTTTAAAGAAGATGATGAATAGCTGAACTTGAAGTTTGATCATTATTTTTTTTGCTTTTTGCTTTTTGTTTTGATTTCTGCCTAGAACTAGTCCTGTACCTTCTCAATACTTCAGACTGCTTTTCCACAGTTCTTGAAATCTTCATAGTTTTACAGTCACATAACCTAAATTTTGATGACCTAAAAAGAAAAAAAAAACAAAAACAGAAACAAAAACAAAAAAAAAAGAAAAGCCACAAAAAATAAAGTAATGCAAAGGAATAAATCTAGTTTGTCGTGAAAGGTACAAAACTGGTGAATTTGTACGAGTTTTTACAATGTATCTTTCCTTTATGTAACATGTCTATTTAGTGCCTTATTAAACAAACAGTAACCCTCCCTTATTAGAGAGGGGGACACAAAATCATCGTTAGCATTAACCAGCGTCTGGTCTCTTGCTCCTTTGGACCTTGCATTCACTTTTCCAGTCCCTTTTTCCCGGAGCAGCTCCCTGTGCCTGGCCACACCTGCTGCTCCCTTGGCCGCTGCTCTGCTCCGACTGTTCTTAGGGAACTTGAACACGTTTTATGCACATTATCCTACCCAGGGAGGTAGGAATCTGTGGTGGATATTGTAAACGAGATACCAACCAAAAGAGAAAGCGAAATATAATATCTACTGCCCTCTTGAGCCAAAATGTGTGAATAGTGTTGTTGGGGTTGGGTGTTTTGTTTTGTTTTGTTTTGTTTTTTGGGGGGGTGGGGGTGTGTTCAGTAATCTGAACTAGTTTTGTTTGCTATTAAAAAAATACGGTTACCTCAGCAGATTTTGGGTGGAATATGCATCACATGTTTAAAACTGAGCAGTGAGTAAAGAGGTGGTGTGGGGACCAGAGGTTGTTAAGAAACAAGATTGTCTTGTCACAGGGTGTCACCCGGCCACCAAACCCCGCGGAAAAGTCAAGGAAGTGGGCAGGGGCTGGATAGGCACAGAGGGGTAGTGGGAGAGGGTCTGAAGATGCAGTGCAATTGAACCCAGCTCTCATGCTTGAAAGTCCTCAAAATTTCAACCAATTCTCTTTTCCCCCTTTTTTTTTCTCCTCCTTCCCCAGTCCTCTCCCAGTGTGAGCTTTTATTTGTCTAATGTCACACCCAGCTCTGCGGTTGAGCGATCAGTTTGTTGAGTTCCTGGGTCCAGGTTCATTTACCTCTTTCTCTAGTTTGGGGAGCTTAATGAGTGTGAAATGGGGTGGCTCATCAACACCAAATTTCTGTTGCAAATGATGCCTTTCAGCCCATCCATGCACAAACCCCAAGCTGCCACCTTTCCCTGGGCTGCTGCAGCTCCAGTGAGGAGAGCCCCAGGCCCCAGGCAGTGGGAGCTCCTCAGCAGAACTCACTTGTTACCTTTTCTCTTTCTTCTGTCTCTTTGCAGTCCTGAGAACTGTGTATTTCAAGTGCAGATACCAGGTCTGGGGCCCAGATCCACTCCAAGTTCTGAATGGGTGTTTAGAAATAATGGTCTGTTCCTTTTTTTTTAATTATTATTATTGTTGTTGTTATTGTTATTATTATTATTACACTATTTAATGTTACTTTTTGCCTCGGGGTCCATTTCCTCCCCATTCCCACGTCCCAAATTGCCACCAAGGCAGGGAATTTGCTTTGCACACCCTTGCTGATGCCCCGTTCCCTCTGGCCTTGGTGCAGCTCAGTGGAGAGCGGTGCTAGAGTGTCCTGCAGCTGCCAGCACAGAGATTCAGGCCCCTTAAAAGTGATTTATTTTAAAAGAAATACAGAAGAATCAAAGCACTGCTAATGCTTAGCAACCTCATGTCCTAGCCTGCCTTTTTGCTCTGAGTTTTAAGTCGCGTTAGCTTTAAAAGGGGTTGTTGATCTTACAGAGTTTCTTAGCTTACAGTACAGCAAACAGCATCCTAAAAGTGCCCCCAAACCCCACTGGCCTGCAGTGGGAAGGTGGCTTTGTCGATTCTGGTGGGGTGGAAGGATGGGTTTCATTTGGGGCTGTCACTGTCAAACACGTGTTCCCTTCACAACCCTTGGTTACACCGGTTTGGAGACTCAGCTTTACTAATCCAGCGTGTTGTTTCCATAAGTGTTACAAAATTCATTCTGTCTTAAGTGGGGTCTAAGGAAATCCAATTGCTTTCTGGAGAATCACCCTTTTGTATGTGTATTGAATTATAAAATTGCACTAACTGCTATTTTAAAAAAAAAATTTAAAAATCAAAGCCCAGTGTTTTTCCTAAGGATTGGGAAAAGACTGAATCAGATGTGTAGCATTAACAGTGCTAGACCAGAACAGAATGAATTTTAATCTCTTCTGTCTCTGAACTGCTCAGAGATTTTCTGTGTACAACACAAAGCTACAAAAAAAAAACCACAAAAAGAAGTTTTCCAGAAACTGCGCTTCAAATTTTTGCTGTACTATAGAAGCTCATGAAGGACAACATTAAAGTCCTAATTTGCCTGCCTTATAGACACATTTCATTGTATTAATATTTTCTTAAACTTCCAGTTGCATTGTGTTGGCTTTGGAGTTTGTTATAGGCAGTCCTGTATCTTGAGTTCTGTTCAATTTAAACTTATGTAAACTATTGACAGCACATGCAATGCAGTACTTATCTATATTTTGCTGTTTTAGTATGAATATGTACTCTGATGCCAATTTACAAAAATCTGTTGTAAACGCTTCTTGTGTACCAGTAACCGATAGTGGCAATTATATGTCATTCTAAAAGCTGCAATACTTATACAATAAATTTTACAATACTTTGGAAAATTTGCCTTCACCTTTTGCTTTGTTACCCCCCCAAAAAAAAAAAAAAAAAAAAAAAAAAAAAAATCAGGGTTTGTCAACACAATGTAATTTCAATTTTCCTATTTTCTTCTGGAATGTTGGAAAATGAATCTGCTCGGTTTTGGATATTTGTGTGGGTTCCCCCCTTCCTCGTTCTGAACCACGGCCCCACCTGTGCGTTGTCCCGTGGAGCTGTGGCTGGTTCCTGGTGCAGTCGCCCGCTCCGTGTGCGTGTGTGCAGGTGCAGCTCTTCCTTGGAGCAGTTTGGGTGGCACAGCTCCAGCCCCAGAAGGATCCCTCCTGCTCTGCCCAACACTCGGGTCCTGCCTTTCAGCCGAGAGCGTCACTGATGGTCGGAAGGTCTTAACTTGAATAACGTCAATCAACAAGAACTGCACAGATTGACTCAAATCCTAAGCACAGAGAATTTGTGTGTGACTTTTTCTTTTTTTTTTTTTTTTTTTCCTTTTTGAAACTGTGGTCAAATTGCAGTGATCACATTAAAGCGATTGAAAACTTGACTGTTTGCAGGGGGTTTTCTTTTGTGTGTCTGAAGGATGGATGTCCTGTAGATTCACCCAGACCTCGGGTTTCCCCCTGGGGCTAAGGGATGTGTAGTCATTAAAATCATTAATCCCTGGGGTTTGCTGCCAGCTCTGCCCCAAGCCCTTGTGTCACTGTAAGACACGTGAAAGCACGACGCGAGCCACCTGCTATTTGCAAGGTAAAGATAAAAGTTTATTCTCTGACTCCAACTTTTATACTTTCCCAAAGGTGAC